ATCTGGTATAGATATTCTAAGTACCTATCAGCTTATATTATGAGTATTTATATACCATATATCTCTAACAGCCTCAAAGGTACTAATTTTCTTTCCTATATCTTTGAATCTCAAACTATTAACATCATTTACTCTAAAACCCATGACACTTGTGTATTTGTTTTAATAGAAGAATCTTAATGTAAAGAACAGGTTTCTTTCATATTCTAGTCAACAGAAGTTATTATAGTTGCATACCGTCTGTTGTTCTAGTATAAGCATGAGTACTAAGTCTGATTTCAAAAACACACTGTGTTCACTAAGCATACCAGACTTCCACATTTAGATGTGTTATTTTTGTATCCCTTGCATGTTAAATATATGCTCATAGATGTAACACAGCATAGAAGAGTATAATTTAGCCAAAACAACTGAGTTTATTTTCAATATTAAATATATGCAGAAATAATGACTTTTTAACCAACCCTTAATGGTATGTAAAATTTCAGTCAATGATAATTATCCAGTAAGGCTATATATAAAATATTTATAATAAGAGATTTCCTATTAAATACTGGGGCCTAACTTGTTGAGACTGGCCTCAAACTTACAATCTTCCTTTCCTCAGTCTCCTAAATCACTGGGATTACAGGCATGTACCACCATATGCCTACCATATATATTAAGAATTTTAAGTAGAATCATGGGTACTCAGTTTATCTACTCTGAGCCAGATCCAGGGGATCCAGGCTTTCATGAAACTAACAATCTAGTAAAAGATATAAGAATGATATAAGAAAATAAAATAACTCCTGTAATCCCAGCATCTTGGAAGGCTGAGGTAAGAAGATCACAAATCCAATGCCAGCCTTAGCAATTTAACGAGGTCCTAAGCAACTCAGCAAGACCCTGTCTCTAAATAAAATACAAAAATAAAGGGCTATAGATGTGGCTCAGTGGTTAAGCGCCCCTGGGTTCAATTCCTGGTACCAAAAAAAAAATGAAAAGAAAGAAAGAAAAAAGAAAAGAAAAGAATATTTTACTCTTTGCTGTGCTACTGCTTATGTTTTAGCAAGTTGATTCTAGAAAATTTTCTGGTGAGGAGTCAGCTTTCATCTTTAATTTTTAAGAATCATCTGCTTCATGCTATAAAGGTATTTTTTTTAACTGCCTTGAAATGTGTGAACATCTACTTTAGAAAATCGAGTGAATCACTTAAAATTTAAACATGAATAACTTGAGTGTGTAATGATCCCATAACTCGCAGAATAAGTTGACTACAGCTCTTTCTTTCATAGCCTTAGATCAGAGCTATTCAAATACTATCACATCCAAAGAGTTTTCTATAAACCACATCGCTATATTCAAAATTACATCTCCTCTCTTTTTTTAATCAGGTACATTTTTAAAATCTAAAATCACCACCCACTTTGTAATTGTTTGACTCCGCAAAAATCAGAAGGCACTAATGGACAGCCAACCTATCCTCATAGTGCCCTGAGTGAAGATAAGCCAGCTTTGATATATGATGGACCAAAATCCCACTGCCAAAGGCTCCAGGCAGGGAGAGGAACAGCCATCAAAGTTTATCTCTAACCACATTATTTTAAGAAACATTAATAAAAAATAAAGACATCAAGAGACTCAGAAGTTATTACATCTAAATAAGAAGAAACCATTGAGAATTAACTGATTTAGCTAGACAAAATGATGAATAAATTAGTGCCAAAACTAAAATCAACTAAAGAAAATATTATTGCAACAATTACATAAGGATATACACTACAGTACCATTTCCCTACTATGCCCAATTTTAGAACTAAATTAGTCTTTGGGTACTAATGAGGCACCAATTGGGTACTAATGAGGTACCAATTGGCAGTAAAATACATAAGCAATTAAAGCAAAGAATTTCTGATAATCTATTATGCAAATATCAGAAATTGCCACACAGTACAAAATATAAGATAAATATACACATGGACTTTGATGACAAAATTGCTAATATTCTTTCCAATGTTCTAAGCCCACACATTTATCTAATTTAATCTTCAGAGTAACCATCCTTTGAGTCAGATACTATTATTATCATCTTATATAAAGAAATCAAGATACTGATAAGTTAGCAAATTTGCCAAGGTTACATAATTGATTAGGTGACAGAGCATTAATTTAAACCTAATCTAACTCCAGAACGCATGTGTTGGGGCTGGGGTTGTTGCTCAGTGGTAGAGTGTTGGCTTAGCCTGTATGAGGCACTGGGTTTGATCCTCAGCATTACATAAAAACATAAATAAATAAAAGTATCGTGTCCTCTACAACTAAAAAAATTTTTAAAAGAACCCATGTATAACTAGTATACTACCTCTCAACATCTTTAATTGACTTTTAAAAAAAATAAAATGTATATAGCACCA